TGACCAAAACAGACTGTAAAAGAACTTATGAAGAATAAAATTTGCCAGGAAAAAGATGGCAAAGGTTATTGCATCCATGCTTGCTTTCTCCTTGCTATTTGGGAGAAAAGGGTTTCCAGTTTCTACAAATCAGGGCACAGGTCATAGATTTACAGCCTGACTTTGTCCCTATAGTAAGTACTAAAATAAATGATATTCAGGCCTTAGTCTTCTTTTCCTGCTTGTTACTAAAAAGAAGCCCTATGGTTAAATTTAACATTCTGGATCCCATGTGTTAAACAGGGCTTAAACACAGCAGGAGGTGTCCTACCCCCATGTCATCTGCTGCAGTTGCATTCATGTGCATCACTCTCTACCCTCATTTTAGATTGGATTACGTTCATCTTGTTATATATATATTGAACCAGTTCTTTCTTTCTTTTATTAGCTCCTTGATTTGAGTAGAAAATTACAAGTATCTACACATCCACACAATAACTAGAGCTTGAAAATGATCCAACTTATACCCTAACCTAAGACAAGAACTGATGGCAAGAACAGATGGTTCAAGCAAAACGTACCCAAAGGGAGGTTCTCGTGCCATGTGTTATGGTTGTTTATTAGATCTCCTAAAGGGCGGTGCAGCACCGAGATGAAACAGGCACTCAGTAGACAGAGTACGTGACGTGCAGTCAAATGGATTGATTTGTCTGGTGAATCTAATAAATGGATCTTGTTAATGCTGAGCAGGGAAAAATATTCCTCAGCCTCTATTCATTAGCTCATCCTCATTAGAAGAACGCCTTCTCACCAGAAAATCAGAAAGGCCTCCAGTCCTCTCTGCAGAAGACTGTGCAATGCATAAATACTGTTTTTTCTCGGTTGGTCTGTTTTCAAACAGCAGCACTGCTAGCAGTTGTATTTCTGATCCCTAATTTATGTTCTTTGCTGTTGCCTTTTCTTTGCTCTTCCCTGATTATCATCAATATGCCTGTCTCTTCTACAATGCAAAGCTGTTCTTTGCTCTTCAGTCCCTCTTCTACCATCCATTGTTTTTCATCTACATTAATTATACCCTGAGTTTCTATATCTGATGGCGCAGCCCACCCTACCATGCCTCAGTCATTGTTCATGCTCCTCCGTGCACCCATTTCACTACTTCTCCTTATGCAATGGAATAACTGCAGGGCATCTGGGAGCCTTGTGGGACTGAGCCCCTCTAAATTCATGCTCTAGTCTTGAGAAGTAGAAAAAAAATCTTTTCACTATCCCTGAATACCATACCTATAATTCACATCAGATATTTGACGCTTATACTTTTTTTTCCTCTGCTTTCCCTTTTTGCTCACTTGGGAGAGAAAAAGGTGTTCATCATGTACACATCCCATCTTCTCTCACCCTACACCTTCTAGCCACTGACCATGAGATCATTTACTTCATCCTGTTCCGTAAACCACTAGTGGCTCAAACGGTCTCACTCAGACATGCTCCAGCCCTTCTTTCTTCTTGCTGGCTGTCTGTTCTCTCTCAGTATTCCAGCAGGGCACCTACATCCAATTTTGAAAACCTTTCCACCCCTCCATCTGTACTTCCTACTGGCCCATTTGCCTTCCCTCATTCAATCGCCAGCAGGTAACTTTTGCACTCATTTTCTCTTCTTTTCTGGTTTTTAATCTGATCACTCGGATTTCTACCTTCTCTGCTGAAAATGCCTTTTCTGAGGCCTCATTCAGCCTATCTCGACTGAGTCCTGGGTTTGTCATTCTTTCCTCCTCGGCACATTTTCTTCCCTTGGCTTTTGCTGCCTGGTGAGCTTGTGACTCACCTGCTAGCTCTCGGCCTTATCTTTGTATCATTTCTGAATGCTCCTTTTGTCCCTGCTCTGCAGGAGTTTCATATGGCTGTGTCATTGGATGCCCTCATCTATCTTATTCCTGTACAGTATCATGTGCTGTGATTGTTTATATTAGCAGTTAAAGACCCCTGTCAATTCACACCTGCATTCTTTTGCTATCCATTATTATCCAACTCTTCCCAATGTAGAGAGAGGAGCTATTCTCCTGCTGTATAGCTTGAAGGTAAAACCAAAATATTTATCGCTATTTAATCTTCTTCTCTTTTTCATTCCCTACTGTTATTAAAATACTGTCTCACAGTATTCAAGGATCAGGTACTTTTTATCTATATGTACCATCCATTTGAATAACTGCAATTCTATTTTATTTCAGGTTATTTAACTGTCTGCTTCTGGTTAGATGACTGATGGAAGTATGGTTATGAGTGGCCTTTGCCAGATGAGAATGACCGAAGTTATGAAAAGATATTAGCATAAATCATAGCAAAGGCATCTGAAAGCATAAGAGATTTGAAAATGAAATAAGCTGCTAATTCCCCTGGAGAGTAGTTTTAGATAAAAGATCTCTGAAGCTACATTAGTGTACTGGTTTTGGCTGAGATAGAGTTAATTTTCTTCACAGTAGCTAGTATGGGGCTGTGTTTTGGATTTGTGCTGAAAACAGTGTTGGTAATACAGGGATGTTTTAGTTACTGCTGAGCAGTGCTTACACAGAGTCAAGGCCTTTTCTGCTTCTCACCCCACCCCACCAGTGAGTAGGCTGGGGGTGCACAAGGAGT